GTACCGACTCGTCAAAGGTGACGTCCTGAGAGGACAGAACACGGCGCGAGGTGGGGTGGTAAAACTACCAACCAGGCGCGTCACGGGGGAAGCCAAGGAAGACGCAGGGAATAGCACGGGGGGACAGCTTGTCCGCAGACACATCGCCAACCTTCCCCGTCCACCGCAAGGTGGGGGAGGTCTCTGGCAAGGAGACCCGGGGCTGAAGGTTGAGCTGATGCGCGGCGTACTGAACCGCAAACGGCCACACAAAATGGGGGGCAGCCGCATGCATCATGGACGTACGAGCGACGTCCATGACCATGCCAATGCGGCGCTCAGCAATCCCATTTTGCTGTGGAGAGGCTGGAAGCGTGAAGGTCTGGCGGATGCCTCGTGCACGACAGAAGGCTCCGAGACGGGCAGAGGAAAACTCCCCGCCTCTGTCAGAGTGCAGACGCAGAACAGGAAAGTCCGAGCCGAAACTCTCCCTGAGCTGGAGACGAGCTGCGCGGATCCAGTCGATCAACACCTTAGTGACGTCATCCTTGCTGCGCAAGGGGAAGACCGTGGTTTAACGCGAGTAGTCGTCAACCACCAACAAGAAGTAACTCTCGTGCCTTTGTCCACGGACGCGGGCGGGGCCCCACACGTCCATGTGGAGAGTCTGCAGCTGAGCCTCTGTCGGAGGAAACTCGGAGGAGTGAGGGGCGGCGCGCTGTTGCCTCTCGACACAGGGGACGCAGGTAGGGCCAGGCCCCAAAGGTATGGGAGGGAGAGACCGGGGGAGACCAGAGACAAGGACACGGGAGGCCATGCCTCGGAGACGAGGCAGGGAGGGGTGACCAAGACGGTGGTGCCAAAGGAGAGTATGGTGGGACAGGAGACGACACGAACAGGGAGCAGACTCAGGACCAGACCTGGACGCTGCAGCAAACACCTGACTCAACACAGCTACCTGGCCAGACTCAGCAGCCGGAGGAGACTCAGTAGTAAGGGTGTACAGGCTCGACCCTGGCCGACAGGTGAATGTGGCCAAGTGTCGGCCTGTACGAGCACACGTGCAGTGGGTCACCCGCTGACTCGTAGGAGTGAACTGGTCAACCCCCATATCCTGTAGGTCCGCTCCACTCACCAAGTTTGTAGAGAACGAGGGGAGGTAGAGCCCTGACAGGGTGCCAGAGGGGGCTACCGGGCACGGTAAGACAGTGGAGAAGCTAGCAAGGACAGGACCCCCAGAGGGGCCACCGCCGCCGCACCCCCGCCACCACTCTTACCACCACCCCCACCCCCTCCACTGCCACCACCACCACCTCCACCGCCCCCGCTAGCCCCTCCAGCTCCCTTGCCCCCCTTGCCCTTGCCGGTGCGGCGTCTCCCGCTAGGGGTAGACGCAACGCCGACCCCGTAGAAACCAACGAGGTCAGCACCAGCAGTAGAAGCAACAGAGGGCAAGAGGGGGGAGGGGGAACACCCCTCAAAGACGGGGGTGCGAGGGTCACCACGAGAGGCTCCTACAGCGTCTATGCTCTTCTCTACTGCTAGGAGGCGCTCCTCGAGGAGGTCAACGGTGAGTGTGGTCGGGCAAACTGAGAGGAAGTGGTCCTTGGACTAAGCGAAGAGAGTCAGGGAGCTGGGTGACTATGTAGTAGAGGGTGATGAACATGGGGGGGGGAGTTCTTGGCGCAGAACTCAGTGGGAAGCGTAGCGCGGTAGAGAGTGTCACTAGTGCGAAGGTGCGTAATGAGGTCAGCGACTGTGGGAAAGGCAGCAAGGTCAGGGAAGAGGTACGGTAGCATGAGGCGGCTCAGTGCAGCAGTGGCAGGGGAAGAGTAGCGTGCAACTACAGCGTCGTACAAGGTCTGAGCACTCTTGTACTGGCTAAAGTGCGCACGCTCAGTGGTCGGTAAGTGGCGATGCACAGCAAGACGGGCAGCATCATTGCGTGTGGCCCACTGTGAGCGAACAGTGCTGTCAGCTGTGGCAGGCGGGGCAGGGGAGGCACCGGAGGTGAGGTCTAACAAGGAGAGGCCGTCTGCCCTTTCGCACTGTAGGAACAGCTGGAGGTCATCGACCCAGACCTCAAAGTCAACAGCATGACCCTCAGTATCAAAGGTAAGAACCTTGGGGGTAGCCATGACTGCAGTGGCCTAGCAAGGAGTGAGCTCACCAGTCGGAGTAAGTAGGGCACGGGCGCGCCGGTAGGACGAGGAGCGGCTCGACGGCAGGGCGGCTCGGCTGCTCAGCGGCTCGGCTGCTCAGCGGCTCGGCTACTGGGCGGCTCGGCGGCAGGGTGGCCGGCTGCTGGGCGGCTCGGCTGCTGGGCGGCTCGGCTGCTGGGCGGCTCGGCTGCTGGGCGGCTCGGCGGTTCGGCTGCTAGGCGGCTCGGCAGCTCGGCTGCTGGGCGGCTCGGCAGCGCGGCTGCTGGGCGGCTCGGCGGCTCGGCTGTTGGGCGGCTCGGCGGCTCTGCTGCTGGGCTGCTGGGTAGGGGCGGCGTGGGGCCGTTAGGGTCGGCGGCGGGGGCTGCTTAGAGAGGGGAGCGGCGACGGGGCCGTGTAGTGGTGGCGACAGGACCGCTTAGAGGCCGCGAGAGGGCCGCTTAGGGGCGGCGACGGGGCCGCTTAGGGTGAGGGGCGGCGACGGGGCCCGCTAGGGGGCGGCGACGGGGCCGCTAGGGGTGGCGACGGGGTCGCATATAGGCGGCGACGGGGCTGCGTAGGGTGAGAGGCGGCGACGGGGTCGATAGGGGCGGCGACGTGGCGCTAGGGGCGGCGACGGGGCCCGCGTAGGGGCGGCGACGGGGCCGCGTAGGGTGAGAGGCGACGACGGGGCCGCTAGGGGCGGCGACGCGGCCGCTAAAGGGCGGCGACGGGGCCGCGGAGGGGGCGGCGACGGGGCCGCGTAGGGGCGGCGACGGGGCCGCGTAGGGTGGAGAGGCAGCGACGGGGTCGCTAGGGGCGGCGACGGGGCCGCTAAAGGGCGGCGACGGGGCCGTGCAAGGGCGGTAACGGGGCCGCTAGGGGGCGGCGACGAGGCCGCTAGGGGCCACTAGGGGCCTGGAAAGGGCGGCAAAAAGGCGCACCTCGGGCAGGAGTGACTGGCGCTCCGGTCAGAAAGGAAGTTTTCAGTGGTGGGCCCAAGGAAGCGTTCCCACTAGGGAACGTGCTCTGATACCATGTGAAGAATGAGGAATGAATGAACTAGCACAAAGTTGGTACAAGTAGGAAACCCTAGGAAGCTGTACCCTATAGTGTCTACCCCACTATAGCCTACACAAGCTATATAATATGTGTTTGACAAATAACTGTCTCGTCGCTTGGTCTTTCATCCTCGCTGCAGTCATCTTCGCGTGAAGGATTTGTTACCCAAGAATGTTTATTCAACTATTCCATATCGTAACACTCCCCTTCATTCCTGAAAGAGCGATGTCTTGACGCGCTTGGTTATGCCGTAGATGTTTCCGCAGTGATGATACTGTTGACATGACAATTTCTTGGTAAGGAAGTCAGCTGCCATATCACTAGTGGGGCAGTAAGTCAAGATGACTTTGCCTTCGTCAACTTCGTCTTTGACAAAGAAGTAGCGAGTGCGATGTGCTTGGTGTGGTTGACGAAGCCAGGTTCGTGACAAAACCTATTTCCGTTCATTTCACTCTAGGTTGTGTAGGGGTCATTCCTTAGAGGGTACAACCCATTTCTCTCGATAGTCTTGTACCCCTCCCCTTACCCAATCGACATCAGTTCCTAGTTCTATTCTTAACATGATATCAGAGTAGGAACCGTTCCTAAGTGGGCCCACCGTTCCGCCTAGTGATAGCGCCACGCCCTACACAGTAGCTAGCGCACTGGCGCCCTCGCTCTTACTGGTCACGACCCTTCCTAAACGGCCTGTGCGGCCATTTGTTTTTTCTCTCACAGTCGCGACCCCTCCTGACCGCGCCCTAGCTGCCCCGTGCGCCACTCGCGCGGCCCGTCAGCCCCCTGCGCCCGGTCCCCCCCCTCGCTCCTGCTGCTGCGCGTTCCACTTGCGCTGCCCGCCAGCCCCTAGCGCGCACCTACTGCGCGCCTCCTTTTGAGCTGCCCCGTGCACACCTGTTGCGCGCCCCTGGTTTGCAAGCCTACAGCCCGCGCGCGCCTACTGCTTATGCGTGCCGGCTGGTGCTGCTACGTGCCGCTGCTGCTGCCGCCACTGAGCACGAACCACGCTGCCCGTCCGAGCCGCGCCGCCCAGGACCGAGCTGTCACTTCTGCTGCTACTACAACTACTGCTGCTACAGCTAGTGCTACTGCCGCTGCTGCCACTACTACTACTGCAACTACTGTTGCTACAGCTAGTGCTATTGCTGCTTGCTGTCAGAATGTTATTGTATACATCACTTTATAACTGCCTGCAATGTAGACTTAGTGTAGTTATCTTGCTTGTTAGGTGGTGCACCTTGCTTCACTTCTTTCATATTTGTACCCTTGAGCCTATAGTGAAAACCATCCTTTCTCCTTTGCACTTTCTCGACACTCTCTTGAACCCTCAAACTAAAGCTACTAAGCTCCTAAGCTATGGCTCCTAAGCCCACCTACTCTTAGCCTATCTCAACAGCTGCTGCTACTACTGCTACTGCAACTACTGCTGCTATAGCTAGTGCTACAGCTGCTGCTGTTGCTACTGCTGGCCACTGCTACTTGCTGCTATGGCTAACCTGTCAGCTCTTACGTTCGATGCTGAGGGCCAGCGAGATTACCTTTGATGTCTGGCTCGATGATCTCCAGCTGTACCTGTAGAGCGAGTCTAAGGATGGTGTTTCCCTATTTTTGCACACTGAGGGAAAGCTCCCAGCCCCTGCTGCCGACGCTGTAGAGGATCTGTCTAAGTGGCTCATGCGTGATGCAGCTGCCCGCCTTGCTGTCCACAACCACCTGCCAGTCACTGAGCGCGGGCACTTCAGCCGGAAGAAAACGACCAAGGATCTCTATGACGCTGTCGTTGCTCGCTATTCCTCTTCAGCTACAACTGCTGTAGGCCGTCTCATGCTACCGTACCTGCATCCCGATCTAGCTGAATTCCGCACTGTCTCTGACATCTTTACCCACCTCCGCTCTAGTGAGGATCGCTTCCGTGCGGCTCTCAAGCTGGCCTTTCTCTTTAAGAACCCCAACCCCCCCCCGCAAGTACTTCACCCTGTACTTTCTTATCACTAGTCTCCCTGACTCCTTTCACACTGTCAGGGACCAGTTCTTAGCCATGGACCCCACTGAGCTCACACTTGGCTCACTTGAGCAGTCCCCTTCTCGAGGCTGAGAAGAGCACTGTCGCTTGTCGCTGCCTCTCATGACACTCCCCGCTCCCCTTCTTTGAAGGGTTGTACTCCCTCCCCTCTCCTCCCCTCCAGTTGCTACGCTGCTGCAGTCGACCTCCTTGTAGCTGAGGACGTTGGCGCTGCGTCTGCTCCCAGTGGAAGGTGCAACAACAGCAAGGGCAGAGGAGGCAGGGTGGTGGTGGTGGCAGCAGCGGAGAGGGGGTGGAGTGGGTGGTGGCGGGGGTGGTGGAGGCTCTGGGGGTGGCTCTAGGGGTGGCGGCAGTGGAGGAGGCAGACAGGGTGGAGGAGGCAGCGGTGGAGGGGGAGGCAGCTAGGGTGGCCGGGGGGCGGGACGGATGAGGTCGGGGTGGGTCTAGCAGGGGTAGTGGCGCTCGTGGACCCTCCCGTGGCTACGGGAGTGTCAGCAGCTGCCGCGCTTCCCAGACAACCCCACCGACCAGCAGCTCCGTGAGTGGGTTCTCCAGCGTGGGGGCTGTGGGGGCTCTGGTCGCTGCCCTTATGTCCGGCCCACAGGGCCTCTGAAGGGCACTGTCTGCGGGAAGCCGCACACTGAGTACAAGTGCTTCGGCCGTCTTGAGGATGCCTGGGTGACTGAGTACACCGAGGACCAGCAGGTGCCGAACTGGCTGTAGCTGATTGGAAAGGGGGTAGATGTGGTCGCTCTTGACTTTGCTAAGATCAATGCTGCTCTCTATGCCATGAATGTTGCTGATTATAGTGTTGAGGGTGCGTGTTACTCGAGTGTGCCGTGCGATGCTGGTGGTGATGCCGCTCGTCCAGATGCTAGTGAGTCTGCTGCCGCTCTAGGTGCTAGTGTCGCTACTGCCCGGTGCTAGTGAGTCCGCTGCTACTACTGAGGTCTTGCACACTTTCACGCTTGACTCTGGTGCGTCCCGTTGCTTCTTTCGCAACTGCACCACTGTCACCCCCACCACTCACTACACCAGACCCAATCTCACTGGTGGACCCCTCTGAAGGCCGGTGGTTGCACGCCACTCCACTGTCTTCACTCCGTGCCCACCTGTCCTCTCCACCGTCTCTCTCGTCATGCCTTCTCGACCTCCCTGTTCTCGACCGAACCTGGTGAGCAAGATTGTAATGGGTGGATGATGGGTTGACACCTTTACTCCTAGAGGTCAGCGTGGGCGATCTGCACATGTGCCAAGGCAGGCCGTCACCTGGCTACGTTCACATGGCAGCCGGGGTCGAACCTGTACACACTCACCACAGCGTCTGCACAGGTAGCTGCGTCTAGTCAGGTGGCTGCGTCTGGTCAGCTCGCTGAGTCCTGCTCGTGTTGCCTCCTCACCCACCCCGTTGGTAGAACGGACCAGGAGCGCTAATTTCTGCTGGTTGTTGACGACTACACACGCGACACAACCCGTCTTCCCCTTGCGTCGCAAGGCAGATATCAGTGGTGTCTTGATCCCCTGGATCCATGCTACTCGTCACCAGGTGCGCGAGCGGTTTCGGCGGGACTTTCTAGTCCTGCGTCTGCACTCTGAGAGGGGTGGTGAGTTCTCCTCTTGCGTCCTTGAGACGTTCTGCAGGATGAGGGCATCGCCCAGTCGTTCGCGCTTCCGGCCTCTCCGCAGCAAAATAGGATCGCTGAGCGTCGCATTGGCCTGATCATGGAGGGTGCTTGTACCTCCATGATCCATGCAGCTGCTCCCCATTTCTTGTGGCCGTTTGCGGTCCGATACGCCGTGCATCAACTCAACCTTTGGCCCCCATGTGTGCTCTGCTCGAGAGACCTCGCCCACACTCCGTTGGACGGGACAGCTTGGTGATGCGTCATCGTTTTGGGTCTAAGGAGCGCTCTCTCTCGCACTCTCCATTGTGTCTTCCTGGGCTTCCCCACCGACGCTCCACCCGGGCAGTTCTACCACCCTGCCTCGCGTCATGTTCTGTCCTCTTAAGACGTCACCTTCAACGAGTCGGTCTGTTACTACCGCGACTTCACCCGCACGCGTCCCACCCGGTCCCTCTCGTACCTCTCTTCCTGGTACAATCCCCCCCCCCCCCCGGTAGACCCCCTTTCCCCACAGGGTCCTGCTCCCTTAGGTGTGTCCCAGGTAGACCCACCCCCGTTGGATGAGCCAGTTGAGATCTCTTCTGACTCCTCCGACTCAGCTGAGGGGGGTGACGTCGTCGCTGACGACACGGCGACCACTTGCCGCACTCTTTACCTGGAGACCCCCCCGGGTTTCCCGCCATGGCCGTCTTCACCGCCTCCGCAACCTGCTGCTGTGGAATCTAGAGCTGAGACTTCTGGAGCTGGGCTTCGGGATGGTGAATCTGGGGGTGCCCGCTCTCCTCGTCTAACTACCCCCCCGGTTCCCACCTCTGCCGTCTTCGCCGCCTCTACAGCCTGCTGCTGTGGACACTGGAGCAGAGTCTGAGGGTGCAGGGACTGAGGGTACTGAGCTTGGGGGTGCTGGGATTGAGGGTGTTGAGACTGAGGGTGCTGGGACTGAGGGTACTGAGCCTGAGGGTGCTCGGACTGAGAGTGCTGAGACCGAGGGTCCTGACTCTGGGGGTGCTACGAGTTCGGGTGCTGACTCTGGGGGTGCTGCGAGTCCTTCTGGTGTTGGTGTCATCGGAGCTCCTACCGGAGGACCTAGAGATACTGGTGCTGGAGGTAGTGGAGGTGCTGCTGGTACAAGAAGTGCTAGAGGTACTGGAGCTGGAGGTGCTGGAGGCGCTGGAGGTACTGGAGCTGTTGCTCCTACTGCTGGTGCTAGAGGTGCTAGATGTACTGGAGCTGCTGGTGCTGGAGGTGCTGGAGGTCCTGGAGGTGCTACTAGTGCTAGAGGACGTGGAGCTGCTGGTGCTAGAGGTGTTGGAGCTGCTGGGATGGAGGTGCTTGAGGTGCTGGAGGTCCTGGTAAAGCTACTGGTGCTCTTTGCCACTTCTCAGTCTTCACCAAGTGCTACTGGCTTCCCTGTGGCAGGTACTACTCTTTTTTTGCTGTGTCCACCGGCGGACCAGTCACAGCTGCCGCTGCTACCCGGCACTCCCACTGCCTGCTCCTGCTCCTTACACTGCGATGACACAGTCCCTGACTAAGCGTCGAGAGCCTGAGACTCGTGCTTCACCCCTGAGCGTCGAGAGCCTGAGTCTAGAGCTGTTGTTCATGCT